GATGAGAACAAATTTTCTGAAAGTATTAAGTATCTGAAAAGAACATGATACCTAAGTCACCTGTGGGACTTCTGTACTTTTTAGCAGAAATGGTAAGATACTCTTCGTAAAGATCATTTCTGGACATTATATAGTCATTGTACATATTTCCTCTGTTATGAGAAAAGCGTACATATTCTCTCAAGTCTTTGGTTCAGAGCATACCCATTTATTGGTCCTGCTTTGTTCACGAAATATCTATGTTTGTTTAAAGGAAATTACTCACATAAGAAAAGTTGTGTGAGAACATAAAGGTTTATGCCCCCGAGTGGACAGTATGGACAAAACCTCAGTGAGTGGGTACAGTTTCTTTGATGTAAAACTCCAATGATCCATATTTCCTGATGAAGTTACATTAGATCATTTCTTTCTCCACCACGGTCCTTTCATAAACAATGATTGCTATTTCAGCCCCTCGGTGGCGTGGCGGAAATTGAGTGTGCTTTAAAATCTGTAATTAAGATCTAAGTTCCAGTCTACAGACCACAGCATATGGACCTGATTATTGGGTTCATGTGTTTTGCCAGGCCACTTCTGTTTATGTTTTGAACTCAAAGGAAATGAAAAAGTCTTTCTCACTTATTCATACAAAAACACATTTAAATAATTACCAGCCAATAAGATGTATTAATAAAGCATGAGTGTAGCACTGCTTTATGTCTGGGCAGCATGGCCTCATCAAACATTAAAGGAGGTCTTCTATTTTTATGGTGTTTGCTTTGCTGCGGACAAACAGCAGCTATTCAAAGGTAGCTACTGCTGCTTATGATGTGATGCACCCTGCATACATAACATCAAATATATATAATTTTCTGAATTTTTCTCCAGAGTGAGTGCAGAAGAAGCTGATGTGTCTCCTAAAATTACATGCAGAATAAAGGAGCTGGGACCTCTAACAAAGCAGCAGAGAGATGCCAGCCTTAGTCGCTTCTGTTTCTCAGAGTATCTTCTCATGTACCTCATCCCATCTCCATCACCAGCGCAGAGACAGAGAACCACCCTTGGCTCTTCAGCAGGCAGGATGGGCAGCACAGATCTCAGTAGGGCTGTTCCATAACCAACAAGATAAATTTGTTCTAGAAATTCCATTGTGCCTGTGCACTTGAATTCACAGTACTCCATGGACATAACTACCAAGGTTCCAAGGGATTAATAAGTCAGAACATGACTTTTGCCAGTGTGTTTCATATACATTCTCCACTTGTGCTCTCTAGAAAAGTAGCAAAGAAGTGAGGCCTACAATTGCTCTGCTTTGCACCATTAGCAGTTTTCTTTCAAACAATGAGGCTGGAAGGAGGTGTTAGAGGTCAGCAAGCAGGTCTATGTAAAAACATACAAAGTCTCCTTTAAGTCTCAAGTACCACCCCAGTCTTAATTTGGATTAAATTAAAAAAAACAAGTGAAATTGTGTTCTAGTGGGTTGTGGCTGTTCAGGCCTGTTCTCTGTGTATGCCTGGTTCCTCCACCACAGCTTCTGTGAAGCTTTGGGAAAAAGGAAGGACCTTGCTTTATTTTGTCTGCTAATCTTAGTGCTACCCTGGCCATTGTTTATATTTAACCTGGAGGATTGCTGACTTCTGAAAACATATTGCTGTGATGTAGCTTTGGTAATAAATTACTCAGAAATTCAAATGTATGGCTGTCAGACAAAGCATACACAGCAGAAGTTGGATCATATTTTCATAGCCCATTCAAGTGGTTTCTTTTAATTGGGATGGCCTACTTGGCTTCGTGAGATGCTGTTCTACAATCAATATCTTAGATATATTTTTCATTAACAAACATGGATTTTAGATTCCACGTGGAAATGAAGGAAGAATAATGTTAAAAGAGAAGATTAAAATAATATGGAATTATCTCCTGATAGCCAGAAGAAAAAATGCCATAGAAATGCATACTTTTGTTGATTTCTGCTCTTGAAAGACTTTTAACTTTTAATGTTGTTTATTTATTGTCCTCAACAGGCTGGAAAGAGATTGACGATTTCTGATGCAAATGAGGGAAAAATGCAGACTGAAAACCGGCAGTTTGGGCGCTGCTTGCAAAATGGCAGCAGTGTTTGAGAAGCGATCAGAGAAGCTGAGCAAACACAATTGTTGTTGGCTCTTCCTGAGCTCTGGCATTGCAACAGCTCAGCTGATAGCAGTGTTTCAAACAGTTCAGGTATGCTACCTATCGCACTGCAGTCACACCCTTGGATGGCAGTACCGACTTGCCTACAGAGGATAGCAACTCTGCTGTTGGGAGTGGAACAGCTTTGGCACTCAGTAACAAGGGAATTCATTGTTTAATACATCCCCTCTGATACCATGAGTACTTCAGCAGGTATGCAGGGACCACACACACTGATGGGCAGGAGTTTGATGGAGTTGTGTGAGATAAATGCGACAGGATTTGCACCTCTCCCATTCTGTCTTTTAACTCCAGTGGAAACTACATTATTCATAATAACTAAGACACAGCGTCTGAAATCCAAACAGGTCTGTAATTTTCTCCCTGTAAAGTGCCTAGATAATTACCTGAGAACAAAAATAGTTTTGAGTCAAAATCTTCGTAAGCCTTGGACAGTGATATATAGTTTACTGGCCAGCAATGCTGTTCCCTTTACCTGTATAGCACTCAGTATGTAATGGAGTAAAATTAACTTGTCTGAATCATCAACTTTTGTATAGTCCTTGTTATTGACTAACTATGTAACCTACCATCTGGTCTTCAAAAACATGGATAGGTAGATTATATCTATACTGGGTACCCAAGGAGCATTTCTGAGCACTCAGGTTTGAGCGAGAGTCTCAGCTGTTTTCCAGCTTCATACGGGAGAGAGACGTCAGATTGCACCACCTCCCCTAACTGTGTCTTTGCATGCTCTAAGAAGGATGTATGGGCACAGCTGAAGTTGGATTACCACAGGTCAGCTGAGCCACAGTAACTGACCTGTGACATTAGCGTGAACTTTGGCAAAAAGAAGTTTCTATGAGGCTTCTTTCATTTGGATTTGGCCTAAAAGCCACCCAGGCAATTAGCTGTTGCATCTCAACTTGTATAGGAGAACTCATGTAACCTGCCCAAGCTTGAAAATTACAGAAACCAAAAGAGAAAAAGCACAGAAAGCGTGCAAGTTTCTAAACAATGTCAGATCTTCCTTTTCTTGAGCAACGTGGTCCTTGGTTGTGCTGTCTCTCTCTAGAGAAGAGTCCAGCCAACTAGCTGAAGGTGCCTTCACACAAAGGAAGCTCTAGATCATAAGGGGAGTCATAGCATCTGGCCTGGCCGCAGTGACCTGGCAGTTTCTAGGAGCTATCACAGATGGTTAAAGCCTAGGTAAAAATTAAGGCTGCATAAAAAAGGGTGAATCATGCCGTAGACATTCATATCCTGAAGACTTAGACCAGCTTTTCCATAGCATGCCCAAGCCTTTCCTAACAGTGTGTCTTGATTAGGGCTGAGATGTGGTTCCTATGAATGTCTGCTGAAGCAAGTAAATACTTTGATGATAAAATTCAATGGCTGTTGCAACAGAATTAAAATAATTCATTTTATTTCTCAAAAGTGGATGAAATAGTTTCCACAGTCATAAGACTGTGCCAAAAGTCCCCAGCAGCTTCCAGCAATGACTTCTTCCCTGAAGCAGGGCCTGAACTGCCTCTTAATTACATGTGTACAGCAAGAACGGTTAGCCTGACTGCCCTAGTAATTACAGTGTCACAGTGTATGGAAATCAGCTTGCCCATGCTCAGATAATTCAAATAGAAATATTCAGCATAAGAGATCTCCAGAACAAGAAAGACAACATGCCAGTAATGAGAGAGTGTGAATCATCACTGTTCACAACATGCTACAGGGCAGGCGGTCACTGTCCTGTCGCTCTGCTGTTTCAGTGACACAGTACTTGTAGAAGACTTCCAATTAGTTCCTCATTTTTAAAGAAATTATTTTAAGTATACGGTAACAAACCGTGAATTTTATCATCAAAGTTTTTACTGCATTTTAGGGGATATTTACAAGAACCCTTTCTAATTAAAGGTGAGTCTTTTCCACCGCTCATCCCTGCAAGATCTCCCCGGGACTCCATTTAAATCCAGGCTGGTACAAGGAAGAGCAGCAGTAGCTATTTTAGAACTAGTGGTTAATGATCCTGTGGTCAAACATAGCTCTAAAAGTATTTGCAGTAATACACAACAAAATAAAAAGATTACCAGAATGCTACATGTCAGATGCACATGAGGATGATCCTATTTGATTTGATGGCAAATTAAATTTTACAGAATGCTTTGCTAAAAGAAAATTACTTCAGAGTTTACAATGAAAACTCAGTGCAAAAGGATTACATTTTCTCCATCTGTATTCATTTTTCAAAATCCATTCACAAAATGTCTTCAGATCTGCATTAATCCCGCACATAAAGAAATACATATGTCTGCATCTGGATTTTATATGTTCAGGAAGATGTTGGCTAAAGTTAATCAATTGATACCAATATTAAAACATGATCATTTTAAAACTGCAGCAACGCTTATTTTTACAAAATACATAACGTTTCTAAACATCAATAACCAAGAAAAGCTTTAAAACTATGGAAAAAACATTTGACTAAGGATCTTTCTGAAAATTTTAAGTTCTCCTGAAAACTCATTTTTCAGCTTCCATTTGTAAAAGTATATATTCAAGTTCAAGCTTGTGAATAATTTTAGGAAACTAACACCAAAGGGAAACTATGAAACAATAATAAGCAAACTCTAATTAGCACGATTGTTATCAGTGAAGATCCAAAAGCTATGTATCTCTTTAGAAACTGCCAAAGTACTTACCTAAATGCCCTTGAGTGTTTCTCATGAAATAGTCACGACAAAAATAGCAAGTATTTCTAAACAAGTGTATTTGTTGAGAGGCTGAGGCTTTGCTTTTGTTGTTGTTTTTCATTTTTAGTAACCACACCCTAGAAATAAGCCAATTTCACTTACCTCTTACATGGACTAGAAGATAGCCAAGGAAGACGAGAAGGATGCTTCTGAATTTCCCCATGGTCTTCTATGCAGAGCTTTGGTTGCACCGATTGTTATTCCCAGGCGATGATGGGTAGGTGTTGGCAGTGCCAAGGTCTGAGGGAAACACTTTTAATCAGTGGCTATGTCCAAAGAGGTCTCTCACCATCACACTCATGTACTGAGGACCAGGGAGAGGTCCCTAAATGTCTCACCTGGTATGGGGCAGGTGATAAACACAGACAGCCCTTTGGCAAAGCCACGTGCAGCACCCGTAGGTGACACCTGCCCTCTAATAAATGCATTTATCACCCAGCAGGTGAAGGCGGAGAGCAGGGGAGCCGCCTGCAGCACCCAATGAGATGGGAACCAGCGTGCTTTTACTCCACCTCTTCCCCTGAAGGAAAGCCAACCTGTTTGACGTCCTCTTCTCCAAAGTAGGGCGTGGTGCCACAGGAGCTGAAATAACCTGGGAGAGGGGTTAGGCTTTCTCCAAAGCATGCCTGAACAATGTCAAACGTACTCCGCGCACAGAGCGCTCCTTCCCTGTTCAGTTCTCAGCTGACACCTAACTGCTGCTAAAGGAAGACCTCCTGGCATCCAAATTGTTAATGAAAGCCATAGTTAGGGAAGTGGAAGCCAAGAGTCTGCTTTGCAAGGATTGGGGATTGTCTATAGAGGCATAAAAAAAATTAAGATTGTGAACTTAACATGGAATGTCAGACTGCTGACCTGGAGCACGGCCAGGTCCCAGGTGGATGCTCTTAGTCATGAGGTAAATATGTCTGTCTCGATTTTCTCCACTGATCTAAACGTACTTTCTAAATAAAAATATCCATGCATATCCTGCAGTTATCCATGCCATGCCAAAGTCCAAACGAGAGGGGAAAAAAAGCTTTGGAAGAACAGAAATCATGTATACATGCATGAGCTTATATTAAAATCACAGTTAATTACATATATTAAAATGCAAGCTTGCCATAATCCCTCTGTGGTAAATGTATGCCAGTTCATTTGCCTGCTGAACTCGATTGCCATCATCTTACTGGCACACAGAAGCAACATGGACACTGGTGAGTTCTCCTTTTTATTGGGACGTAAGCTGCAGACATTTTTGTCAGCAATATTTTGACTATGGCAGCAAATGTACTCAGGACTTTGCTACTATTAATAGCATATCTATACACTTTTGGTGTTGCTGGATGTTCCCACCTGGTGAGGAGCAAAGGCTGGCTGGCCCTACGTGCGTTTCTGCAGAGTTAAGTATGGAACTGCAGAACCAAAAAAATATCCCGAGATGGAAGAGAACCACAAGGACCATCGAGCCCAAATCCCAGCTCCACACAGGACCACCCAAAATCCAAATGCTATGTCTGAGAGTGTTGCCCAGACTCTCCTTGAACTCTGGCAGCGTGGGCCGTGCCCACAGCCCTGGGCAGCCACCGCCCTGTGGTGCAGCCCCTTTCCCTGACCCCCACCACCTCTCCCCTGACAGCTCCATGCCGTTCCCTCGGGCCCTGTCGCTGTCACACAGAGCAGAGCTCAGCGCTGCCCCTCCGCTCCCTGTGAGGAGCTGCAGCCGCCATCAGGCCTCCCCTCAGCTCTGTTCAAAGCAAGGGAGCTCTGCCTCTCCTCATACATCTTGCCCTCCAGGCCCTTCACCATCTTCATAGCTCTCCTTTGGATGCTAGTAGTTCTACATCCTGAATTTATGCTTTTATGTCACCTACAAGAAAGCAGAAGATATAACATAAAATTTGGACGGATAAAACCAAGTGATATTTGAAGCTTGATGTTCAAATTTATCACATTTGTGCTTTTTCCCCCACAGATTCAAAAAAAAACCAACAGAATGGCTTCTAGATGACTAGATCATTTTATCTCATGTCTTAACCATTTTTAAGTTAGGATTAGAAGATCTAATGCTCAATTTATGTACTGCTCTCCTGATGGGCTTATTGCTCAATCTCAGAAGAGTTAAGGACAAAAGGGTTAAAGAGAGAACTCAGTCGCTTAAAACAAGGATCAGAGCATGACACTAGCATTTCCACAGGATTGCTTTTTTCCAGAACACAAAAAAAAGCAGGCATGTGTGCTAATCTTCATATCAGTGATGAATCTGCCTGAAGGAACATAATAGATAGCAAGGCTATATACTAGTCCCAGGCAAGTCCAAGCACCTCATAAACTTCAGTAGCTTTACTTCAAAGCTGTTCTTGACAGTTTATCTTCCCAAAATACCTTATGTCACCTGTTTGCTGATGCTAGTTCTTCCAGATACTTTCTTTGGATATTGAGGTTATTAAATTTAGTTTGAATATGATGCGTCTCTTGTCTAGTTCTTCCAAAACCAGCTACTACTTCATCAAGCTAAATAAAAGCAATATCAAAAAGGCCGAAGGGTGTACTAAAGGAGTGGACCTACCATTGGAATCAGAGACCCCAAATATTTATTCAAGTTATGTTCTTCAAGCCCTGTAGGTCTTACTAAACTCAGCTCTCTCTGCCAAATCGATGTGCAAAAGCTTGCCCAAGGTGGTAAGTATTGCATATTAAGCACAAATATAGGGCTTTTTATCTGATCGTAGACTGCAGTTTTATCACTTTGAGAAAGTATTTATCAATCTTTTCCTATTTTAAGAGAAAACAGTTCTACTTAATATTCACCTGACAAAACTGACAAGTTGCCTAATTTTTTGACTTGTTCTTTCACAAAAAAAGGTCCCATATATTTAAAAAACAGCAAATGGGTGGAGAAAGGGAGCCAGCATATCTGTCTATTCTCTACACTAATTGCTTTTAGCACATCAGGCCTCTTTTAGATGAGACAAACTATAGGAGAACAAGAGGACAATCACAACTCTCCAGTTTTAACCTCATCCTTCATGTGGAGAGAGGTTGGACATTACTCTGTTTGGCATAGGCAATCTACTATGTGAGTCGTTCAGAGATGAAAGATTCGAATTATAAACTAGAACTACTGGGGAAAGCCTACAGTATTGTTTATAATAAAAATAGAAGTATTTTAATTAAAATCTTGAAACATCTGGTTATCATAGACAGTCATCTAAATGTAAGCCAAATGCACAAGAGAATCAGTGATATAATTTGGCAACAGAATAATATAATTTCTACATCTTAATTAGAATTTCAGTGTTTTATCGTTGAAGGTGGGGAAACATACATTTTGGTATGTCATCCTTCAGGTTTTTAATGTATTCTAAATGCAGGGGTTTGAAAAACTGTATTTTTACTCCATTCCTTTTCCTAATCCTAATTAACTCTTCACCTTCTTTCAAGTTTATCCTTTATATCTGCCTAAGAGAAATGAGCAAAAAGAAGATAAACATTTCAGTTTAAGGAAAGGTTAGGGTGTATTTCAGAATCTTGACAAGTGAAATCTGTAGATAAAAGAAGGAAGAAAAAACTCGGACAGTCCAGTTTAGATAGTGACCTAAAATAAATAGAAAACTATGGAAATACACAACTGAGAGTGCAAATTAGTCCAATGTACACTGAAAGCTAAGTGTATTAATGAGTTTTCCTTAGCATTCAAAATTCGGCACAGATTTTGAAATAAGCATGAATAAAAACTACGGTAAAAAGCTTCCAGGTTTCATTTTTAATAATTGCTTATTTTCATTTCCATGATTTGATGATTCTTTTGGGTAAGTTTGGAGAAGCAATTGAAATGAGTATCGCATATGAAGCACATGAAAAGTACCAGAACATTTTTAAGCAGTCCTTTTACTGTTAGGATGTGCTAGTCTACAACCTCTGTTCCCTTGTAGAAGCCAAAGTAACATGATGTCCTAGAACAAAATAGCCCTACTTAACACTTTTTTCTCCTATTACTGCAGATAAGTTTAGCAGCTCTAGGAGTGATACATTCCCCACTTCCAAGGAGGCACACTGGAGAAAAAACAGAACTCAGAGATGTGCAATAGGAAAAATAGAGCACTCTGTGTTGCCATCCCCTTTTTAATAGTAACAGTACCTCAGCAGGACTGAAACTTCCAGTTTGGGCCTGAACAGTTTTTTGTTTGGTTTTTTTTTTTTTCATTCCACTGCACAGTTCAAATTGAGACCTGTATGGAAACTGGAACATGAATTCCCAAGACAGGATCTGAAGATCATTAGCATCACATATGGTCACAACAGGCAGCAACTGATCAGTAGGAAATGACCATAAATACACCTCAGAATGTGGGGGAAAAAAAAAAGCTACTTAATGTTTCTTGACCCAATGACTGTGAGAACTAATGGATTAGGATATTGGAACTAGGCAAGCTTATTGGTCCCTTTCAACCCACCCCTTCTATGATTTATTTATAATGCAAGAGCAGTTCAGCTACAGCAACAAAACCCAAAACTTCAGTGAGTAAATGTGTATCAATTAATAACCCAATAGTTGAAAACTAAGTGGAACGTGACTTTTTATCCACAAATAACTAACAGAAACCCAGAAATAGGCAGTTTCTTGCTCCCAGCTACGTAACTGCCTGAACTTTCAAGCCTTCCCTTCAGCCTTTTCTCCCTAGATGGCAGCACCGAGTCTTTCTTCCTTCTCTCAAAACTCCAGACGGTGAAGTCATAAGTGGACAAAGCCAAGGATGAGAGCAGCTGAAATCAGCAGTACAATGACCCAAACATTACCTCAAGGCTTGCCTGCTTTGTGAAGTACAGCTGTGCCCAAATTTCATATGCCTGTTTAGACTGAAAATACGAATAAGCTTTTTACTAGTTAGCCACTTGGCCTCACGTTGCCGTCTCATTTAGTTTTGATCCTCTCACTAACAGAGCACAACTCAAACAATTCTGCAATAGTGTCAGCTCCTAAAGGCTGAGATGATAGCTGCACAAGAAACACTTATCTTACCTATAGGTTTCCCACACCAAACCTTCTCTACACACTTTCTTCATTTTGAATTGCATTACCAGATCTAGGTGTTCTTGTTCAAAAGGTGTGCCTTTTCAAGGTTTCCCTTGAAAACCTTGTTTTGAATCAATGCCTGTTGTTGTCTTCTCTGCACTGACAAAAACCCTGTGAAAACAGCTCATAGCCTTGCTGCTAACGGCCAACTTCCTTCTAAACTGATTTTGTAAGAAATAAATCTGAATCCCCCATCAAGCAGTAAGACAACCCCCTTTGAATTCTGCTTTTCTGGTAGAGCACCAAAATGTTGCATTTATAGAACTACTAAAAATAAAAAAACTTATTTTTTTTAAAATTATTATTTATTTTAAGAAAAATCACAATGATGATAGAGGGTTTAGCAAGTATTTTTTATGGCTTGCAAAAGCTGGAAAAGATTTGAGAGTCTAGTTACCAAAAGCAAGTTTGAACTTCCCCTTCATTCTGTTCTTAATAGACACCAATTTATTTCTGTTTCTTCTATACTTGGCACTGATATGTTTCTTCATGCAGATAAGCTGTACATTTAATTTCTTTTATTTACATAGATCAGATGTTTACATATAAATTGCTTTTCCACCCTTGAAAACACTTAGAAGTTTTAGCACTCTTCTGTTAAAAGCACAAGTGGGGCAAAAAGAAGTTTACAAATTAAGTCCATCATGACAAAATACTAAAATCTGTGTAAAGCTTTGTTGCAGGCTAAGAAATAAGTACAATAAATTCTTAAATGAATTACCGTTGGCATACATTCATATTTGAATGCGTAGATGTACATGTTTAATATCCAAATTCATAACGACTTCTACAATGTTCCACAAAATACCATCTTTCTGTAGAACTCTGTCAGGTGGCTGAGGCACATTAATAAGACAAATATTGTAAAATTGCATGAAAACTAGAACCACTTAGAACGAAACCACCAACAGAACTGTCAGGCTATTCCTTCTAGCCTGAACTGGTTATTATTCCAGACTTAGTCCTTCGACTGTTATGAAGTGCACAGTTTCCTATGCTTCCATGGATCTTTGAAAATTCCTGGTAGCTTCCAAAAACCACAGCAAACCTCACAACTGCTTTCAGCTGAGAATGCAATCGTTGCCTTTCACCGCAATTGTAATCCTTCACAGATCCAAAAGCATTCTTCGCATGTATGTTTAGTGGATGCTTGTGGAGTGAGGCAGGGTTGCTCTGGTCAGTCTTGTTAGTCTGTATTTGTTAACTGCAGTACAGTTTTCATCTTGTAAGGGTGTATTATGATCCTTCTGAATTCAAAGTAACACATTACTTTCTCTCACGTTTTTGGTTTTGTGAGCCTGGTGACATTAATCCCCACTGTCCAGCGCTTCATTAACAATTCAGATAATCAGTCTTACAGAATACAGTCATGGCTCTGGTTTGTAAATCAGGCTTTCCCACACCTGACCAGCTTAGTAGCTGCTATGCAAGAAGAGCCTGAGAGGATCGAGGGTCTGTGTACACTAGTTTGGTTGTTCAGAATCTGTACCAGACAGATATAATGAAAAATATTTTTAAAAAATCTCTGAATTTTTTATCTTTTGGTGGCTGACCAAGGCAGCTACACAGATTGTATCAGCAGCACCCACATCAAGATCCATTATCACAAACACAGTGAGCTATTTCATTTGCTTTACTTCCAGGTGCCTGCATCATATCCCAAGTTGTTTCATTGGTACATTCACTCCATATAGGATATTTAAAAAAAAAAAAAAAAATGTTTGAACTGCCTAAAAGCAATGGCATAACAAAACAAACTTTTTTTGAGAGAGAGAGAGGTAAGAAAAAGTTAAACATACCGAATGCACTTGAGGCACACCCATTTGTCACAGGAGTAAAGGTAAGAACATCTCCTGTTATTAAGGCCGTATCTTGGTGTGCAACACTGCTTCACAGGACTAACCATATAGAAGTACTCAGGTCTAAGCCACACTCTCAAAAAATGTTTCAAACACCATGGACTGTTTTCTCACACAATTTCAGTCTCTACTGTTTACATTGTACTTTTTTGTTTCTTTCTTTTTTTTTTCTCTCTTTTTTTTCCCCCCCCCAGGCAGAATGCAGGCTCTCTATCCAGTTTCAATGGTCACCATCATTTCTCTTAGTTCTCCAGAAGTGTGCGCTGAACTAAAAAGTGAGAAACAATTTAAGATTAGTACACTAAGCTAAAATATGTTCTAATATATATACATTGTTAAGTAGCAGCATATTTGGACAACAGGTATTTTCAGTAGACATTTGAAACAGTGGGAAAAATTCAGGTAAGCAGAGGCTTGATGCCATGAAGCCAGGACCCTGCCTAACAAGGGATACTGCATTCCAGATTTTTACTCAAGTAACCACATCCTAGTAGATCCATATAGCTCTCTACACTAGTGGTTTGTATAACCCAACATGCAGTTACAGATTGCAGTTCTGAGGATGCAGAAGTGAGATGGAGTGCAGCTTGCATATCTGATGGAAATAATCTTAGCCTCGGTTGCCGACATTTTTAGGAAGTCCAAGTCTAAAAACTAGGGAAGAATGGCCACATAATCAAGATTGAAATCTTGACCTAACACTAATTTAGTTGTACTGTTAGTTACAAACAAGAAATTTTCTTCACAATGTTAGATGTCAATAAAGTGTATTTAAATAGGATCCCCACAAAAAGCCTGTATTTCCATCTAGAATCTCCTCTTACCAGGTGGCTCAGATTGTGCTCCTCTATGGCTGTCCATATTCACATTCTCTTCATCTGCTGGGAAATAAATAGATGCTTAGCACCGAACTTTCCCAAATTTGAAAATACCAGTGCCTGGTTGGACTGATGATGTACCTGCCTTCACCAATGCTAGACTGTACTAGAAAGTACTAGAAAGACCAGATAGACTAGAAAGACAGAAACAAAGCTTCTATCCCACTTATCACCTAAAGCACTCCCCAAGTTCTCTGATCCAAGTTCCATACCGTTCAGGTGAAAAGGAACAGATCACCACAGAAGAAAGATCATGTGGGGAAAAATGCCCCAGTAGATGTCAAAAACTTAATACAGAGGTAAGCCTTTGCATGAAGACACAAATGCAAGATTTACAAAGTTAGAAATGATTGTGTATTTTCCAGCATGAAGACGGTCTGTAATCCCCAGACTTCACTCAGTTTTCTTTAAATAATTTTTTCTCGTAGCCTCTCCTGCTCACTCTTTAGCAGGAAGGTAGTTTATTTCAAGAAAAACTGAAACTTAAGCCTGTTTGCTTCTGAAAATTCTAAGTTTTGGGCACAGCATTCTAGAGAATCCCTGTCTTGGATAGGAGAGTTACTCCTAGTCGATACGAATCCATTGAGTTGTTAAAACTACCTGATGCCTAAAGTAAAAATTCTAGCTCCCATATAAAATACAAAAAAGCAACTCTATAAAAGGTGAAAACAAAGTAATTTAGAATTCTTACCGCTTTGTTTGAAACAGAGTTTCTTCTTCTGGTAAGCAATGAAACTAGATACTGCTCCGATTGCAGTAGCAGCCACAGCACTTACAATCCCAGCTATTGCTCCCTGAGAAGCTGAAAAAAAGGTTTTGTAGACATTATTTTAGTATGAAAGTGATGTCAAACTTGTATTATCTAAGCCTGTGAACACTTGTAAAACACAATAAACATGATATTATAACATGAAACTGTATTAATCAACTTTTTATATCTCTGTGTATAATTAAAGGTAAATCTTTTAATTTTATAGCCATTAATTTCTCAGCAGTGTCTATCGTTAAAACTATTAAGTTCTGCTATTTTAAAAAAGCTCCCCTTTCATGACCTAAGTTCTATAAGTGTAGTCACTGCACCAGGATCTGAGACCTTAACACTTTGAATCACTTCCAAAAGAGATTTCAAAGATTTATAAAAGAAGAGCTTGAAGGTAAGAGTTCCAGATTCTACATTTTGAAGCTGAAACACTCTGTCACCAATAAGCATTTTAGTGGAATATTAGCAACAAAAGAAAAGCCAGAAAACAAGTTTCAGACATGCAAACGCCATGTATAGAAACTCTTGCACTTACCCTCACCATCTCCACCTTTGTTTGAAACTGTGTCCCTTTCTCCTAAAAGAATGAACAGAAGGTTTAGTTTTTACACATCCTAAGAATAGCGGTATTACAAATTTTTTTGGCAGTTAGTCAAGGAAAATGACAAGCCATTTGCTCATGAAAAAATTCTTATACATCTATATAGCATAGATAATTATACCTATGTAATATTAAGCTTTCTGGCATCCAAAATTTCTTTTTTCAAAGCACAAGTCATCGTAATGTTAACTCCAGGCTTTGGCACTCAGTGCTTCTACAAAAATGAGCACAGCACATCTGTGAAGGCCAATTTAATTAACTTGCCCTCCAATTCTAGGTTAGCCTTAAAATGTATTACCATTCCTCAAATCTCAGCCTCATTTACTAAATAGCTTTGCTACTCTCTTAGCAAAAAAGATTAAAGTTCCTTAAACACTCCCCTGATCTGTCACTATGAAATTTATAAAACTTGAGCACTCTGAAACAGAAACTCATGCTGATAAAAACACTATACATGTCCCAACAGATGCTATTTATACCTGTCCATTTTTAAGTTACTATTCCAAAGGAATCTTGGAAGTTGAAAACTTCCCAAAAATTACCCTCAGTACCCACTAAGATAACTTTGTCAGAAACCTGCTACGTATCAAATCCACATCAAGTTATTCAAACTAACACTGACCAGGAAGTAATGAAATGGCAGTAATGCACACAGAGCTGACTACCACACACCAATGATGACCAATATTGCGACTTGCTCCCCATAACCATCTCCATACTCAGATGCACCATAACAATTAGGCTCAGAAGATTATTTACAGCAATATTCATGAGCTATAAAATGGTTACATATCATTCAGTGTAGATATACCCTGCATTATTTGGAAGTCTAAGGATCTATTCATTCTGTGGAACAGGTGATCTTTGAAATGTATTCTCAGATTTCATCTTGTAGCCCACTCTTGGGCTTCTTAACCACAAGAACTAAAATAAATTGAGAGTATTTCACAGAAGATCTTAAAAAAAGAAAAGAAACATCAATCAAATACCTGGATGCTTTTAAAGACCATATTCATGATGAATTCTGAAACAAATGCCACATTCACATCTCAATTTTAAAACCTATCAATCTAAGCATAACAGGAAAATCTCCTGACAGTTGCTTTCACCTCTTAATTATCTGGGTATTTTTTGCCAAATGCAGAACACGTTGGCTTTGAACTAAAAGATATCCTGTCATGTTTCAGATACCAGAACCAAAGCTGTTAAAAATTAGACCATGGTAACCAGCTTGCAAGTAAGCTTTTATCAAAAACTCAGGTAGCCATGGGATCAATAGGAAGCAGAAACTACTAACTTACCATTGCCACCACTGCTGCCTCCACCTCCTTCTTTGGGTAAATCACCATCAAATAGATCTGAATCATCAAAGCCGCCTATAAAAAGTAAAAATATTATTATTTTATGCGTTTCAAGTTCAGTGAAAAGACACTTTAAGACACATAATGACATGCAAATATTCTGTAGTTCATTCAATTAGAATCTATGGGGCTTCTAGGCTCAGGGTCATGGTTATAGTATGTTCACATTCCAGAAGCCCTCCCAGTCTTAGGTTCCATCAGCTGAGCACTATACATATATATGTAGATATATACACTGAACAAATGAGAGAGGCCACAGTCCAAGATCAGGTGTTACTGCAAGTATTACTTGCTAAACAAACAAGAACCTCTTGTAGGCTATTTAACTGGAATGGTCCAAGCCTCACTATTCTGTTAAAGCAGAAAAAGGACATGGACAGAAAACAAACATTTTTGTTCAAAGTTGCAGCTATGAATGCTTTTTCAGAGTTGAGTAGCTATGTCATAACCTTTGAAACTGTACAATGAGTTAGAGGGAAAAAAAAAAAAAAGAAAAAAAAACCCAGAGTTCGCCATGCCAGTCCTGTGGCTACAAGTATTAGCTTGATAATGGGAAGAACTAATCCTTCTCCACTTCCAGCGGATCCCATCTGACAGAGTCTGAAGTTCTGCAAGTTCTACTCCTTCCCTCTGTTATCAAACAAATCTTTACGAAATGCAAAGTTGTTTGAAACAGCAAAGCTACAACCAGCAGATCAGAGGAGGTTTTATTCAGGTAGCAAAAGAACTGTACATGTGACCTGCATTCAAACATACGTTGTCTACAAGGCAGGAGAAGGAGCATGAACCAGGGTACACACTCCAAGTAAGAACTCTTCATCATCACATCCCTCAATCAAGGCAGCAGGATAGCTGCATCCACCTTAACCTGTTTTGTTCAGAGCTGGGTAAAGACAGAGAATATCTCTAAAGCACTATAGGAAGAGTGTGCATTTTAAGCCTATCTTCACAACACAAAAAAAAATTGTATTGCTTTAGTTAGGGCTTTAAAAAAATCCTAAAAAAATAAAAAATATATTCTAAAAACAACTTTTTGAGCATACTCTTAATTTAGATACTTTAAGAATATAGATCAAATGTAGTCCCTCCTTGCTTTTATAAGTCTAGCATGGATTCAGTTTGTAAAGACAGAGTCAATCCAATATATATGTGCACTAGTGTATGCATCTAACAAAAACATTGTCTCAAACACTCACATTCTGTACTCTCCTTTAAAGTTGGAAGGAAAGTGACTCAACAAGTTTGTTATGGAATTTCAAGACTGCTACAAAGCTTATTTGCAAGGCAATTTTCCCTCAGTTCTCCGCGTCATCCAAACCAAAATCTGACATGCTATGCAGCTAATTAGAAAGGAATAATTATTAGAAATTTAACTGGGATAGTAAAGACACATCATGATTTAGGTGCTTGTGCTAGAAGTCTTACCAGGTTCTCTAGGCTTTACAGGTGTAGCTGGCCTGGGGTTATCTGCACACAAAAAAGATATACAGGGGAAAAAACAAAGAGGTTAAAAGATCAAAAGCACTCTATAATACAGTAACTCTGAAATGGACTAGGAAAGAATTAAGTGACTAAACTTACTACAGTGAAGAGACCAAGAACAGAGCACATAGTAACCTTGAAAGACTACTCAACTTATAAAATAGTATCAATCATCCCCATATCATGTTTTTTTGTTTGTTTGTTTGTTTTTAACATTAGCTAGCACTGTTGTTTTATACTAAAAACTGTACTTTGAGTTAATGCAATCAATAGCGTTTGTTACATTTGTCTGTATGTCAGACCTTTTTATATCTGAACATACACAGCAAAGTTCACTAAGTCTTATGCAACATTTTGATTTTTAGATCTGATTTTCAAACACCAAATTTCAGGGTTTTTTTTGTTTTTGTTTTTGTTTTTTTACTAGATACAAATTATTTTGCTGTTTCCTCTTTTAAAAGTACCAGATCAATCTCTTCCTAGCTCTAGGACCTGATCTGACTTAGGCTCTCTGCATTCTCAATGTAAAGAGGCTGGCCCATTTAGAGCACAGTTCTAAGACCCCAACTTAGGCTTCCAATCCTGCAAAGGATCCTCTCTCTTCATTTACCTTAACCATCTGATTCAGTCACCCAATTGTTTCTCAACTAGCCACCTCTGTTTTCAAAATGTCAACGTTCAGAAACAGACTGCTTTAACAGAGAGAAAACATCAGTGCTAAATCAATCAGAGCAGCAAAAAATCTAGAGCTATGCATGTGGTGTTAGCTAAGCTGGCTGTACCACAACAGGCCTAATGACTGCCCAAAGAGCTACCAGGCATTATCTGCCTAACTAGATGCTTCTTTTACCAGATGCATGAAAGGAAACTGACTCAACAGGTTTGTTATAGAATCTCAAGAATGCTGCAAAGCTTATTTGCAAGGCAATTTTTCCCCACTTCTCAGCATTTATCCAAACCAACAGCTCACGTGAATTGCAGCCAATTAAAAATGAATAATTATAAGAAGTTTAAATGGGACAGTAAAAACACATCATGATTCAAGTATCTGTGCTAGAAGCCTTACCAGAGTCTTTAGGCTTTGCAGGTAGATCTGGCTTGGAACCTATAGACAAAGAGTGTTAGAATGGATTACTTCAGATTTAAATGCTACTTCCTGTAAGTAATTATTTATGGACTTAGTGCCATCTAGTGAACACACAGCAATGAAACAAGTAGGACTTGGCTAAGAAATGTGAGGTCTGTTACTTTAATCAATTCAGTGCCCCTATTACATTTAGATAATACAGGATGGATAAACATTGCACCAAATACCTCTGAGCAGTATCCAGAAAATCATGATACTTACTAGGCCCAAAAGCATCTTCTAAGTTAAAGTCATCTATGAAGAAAGAAGGGACATTTTAAGTGCGGTGTGAGAACTGAATTAATTTTAGACTATTTTTACACAAAATGCACCTAGCAATGCTTTCACCAAGAACATAATGGCATGCCCATTCAACAGAAGTCCACAGAAGTGCATCACAGAGCTACAAGGCATTATCTGCCAAACAACACGCTGCTTTTGGAGATCATAGGACATCCCATGGGCCAGCTCAATGTAAGCATGCTCAAGATGAGCAAGCTCAAAACATGAAAACCAACAAAAGGAATTCTCACAGGGCCTCGAAGATTGTGAAATCACGAAGCAACTTTGTAAAAGCAGGCAGCAAAAGACTCCAAAATGCAGAAATTATTTTGCCATTAGGGAATTACTTTGTTTTTATAAGAATATCACAGCTCCATGAGCCACTAAACTGAAAAATTCAAGGTCTCAAACTGTACATACAACTACACTTGACAGTAAAAGGCATTACAAGGAAATTACAACTCACCAAAATCTGATGATGGTGGCTTCTGAGGTGAAACAGGCTTCACTGTAGCTCCTGTCAAGGGAGAGAGGAAGAAACAAAGAAGTCGAAATACAGTTTCCTACACTGTTACAAAGATACATACAAGTTGAATTTAAGCCCATATCTACACAGCAGAAAGGACAAGATGAAGTCTCTACAGCAAGTTTTCCTCTCAAGATCAGTTCCCCCCCAAGGACTGCTATTTACCCTGTCACCCACAACACACTACCTCCATACATTCATGATACAAAGTAGCTTCCCAGCACAAATACAGTACTGTGAGCTGGGCAGGAGGTTCTGATCTCAGCTGTCTAGTGACAGTAATAGAACCTGAAGGAATGGCTAGGAGCTGTATCAGGGAAGGGTTGAGCTGCTTATCAGGAGAAGGTTCATCACCAGGGGATGGTCAGGCATGGAATTGGCTCCCCAGGGAAGTGATCACTGCACTGATCTGCTGGAGTTCAAGAAGTATTTGGACAATGCTTTCAGCCATATGGTCTGATATTTGGGTGGCCCCACATGGAGCCAGGAGCTGGACTCACTGATCCTTAGGGGTCAATTACAACTTGGGATATTCTATGACTTAATGGACTTGTGCAAGACCACTGCCAATGCATCCTTATCTCTAGGTTGAAAGATATGAAGTCTAGACTTGGATAAAGAATTGGTTGGATGGTTGTAACCAGAGGGTTGTTGTTAATGGCTTTATGTCAAGGTGGAGCTGGTTACAAGTCGCGTCATCCCACAGGGGTACAAGTACTCTTTAATATTTTTGTCAGTGAAATAGATGATGGGATCAAGTATGCTCTCAGTAAGTTTGCAGGTGACACTAATCTGAGTGGTTCAGTTGACATCATAGAAGGAAAGGACACCATTCAGAGAGACCTGGACAGGCTCAGAAAGTTGGCCTACAAGAACAGAATGAGTTTCAATAAGGCCAAGTGTAGGGTGTTATGCACAGATGTGTGTATAGACTAGGAGAACAACTCACTAAGAACAGCACTATGGAGAAGGACTTGAGGATCCTAAGGGGCGAGAAGCTGGACATGAACCAGCAGTGTACATTTGTAGCTCGGAAGGCATGCTGTATCCTGGGCTGCATCAAAAGAGGAGTGGCCAGCAGAGAGAGAGAGGAGATTGTTCTCCTCTACTCTGCTCTTGTGAGGCTCTATCTGGAGTACTGTGTCTAAGCCTGGGGCCTCTAGCACAATGAGGACATGGAGCTGTTGGAGTAGACCCAGAGAAGCTTACAGGCAGGAGAGGGGTTGAGTTTTTTTATGTGGTCAAACAGTGATAGGGAACATGGGAATGGCTTTAAATTAGAAAAGGAGAGATTTAGATTAGATGTTAGGAAAAAAAAAAAATCTTTATTTTACTCAGAGTGGTATGGCACTGGCATAGGCTGCCCAGAGAAGCTGTGAACGCCCCGTCCTTGAAGGCATTCAAAGTCAGGTTGGACGGGGCCCTGGGCAGCCTGAGCTGGTCAGTGACAGCCCTCCATGGCAAGGGGTTGGAACTGAATGATCATTAAGTTCCCTTCCAACCGAAGCCATTCTATGATTTTGTAGTGTTCATCATTTGTACTTTCACTGAAGCACAGCAAAAGGAAAAGGCATGAATTTCTACAGCAGCAGTGAAAGAAAAAGGCATCCAAAGATGCTGCACTACACCTAAAGAAGCTAGAAGAGTATTTCTCCTAATGAATCTAGGCAGAGCAAAACTTAATTCTGGTCACAGCTAATTTAATTCAGAAGACATAAACATAAAGCACTGGTGTGCTTGGCTTTTCTTCTAAGAACATAGGTACAGAAAAGGAAACATAAGTGGTTATTGCAAAATCTGCAGAAGGGAACAAAACCAAAAAATATCATACCATAAAACTGAATGTTTCTTCTATTTATGGGATGGACCAAGTTAAGACAAAGATAAACCATGAGTCTAGCACTAGAACTGACGGATGCTCATGTATTTGGTGACATCATTCATCCCAAATGACATCAAAACTGAAACTTCTTTTCCTTCTCAAATAATTGCACTTTTAATACCATTTGTGTTCCACAGAAGAAATATGGCTAAGATACATTTCTGTGTTGTTTTGTTAAAAAAAAAAAAAAAAAAAAAGGAAAAAAAGAAATGACAACTGGAATAAAAATTTCAAAGGCAAACTTGAGTTTTCTTCCTTCAGGCTTCAATTTGGACAACTACTTCAAGAAGTATAATCAGTGATTCCCTTACTCTAACAATCAGAGCATCACCCTGCTCACAACTAAGCCTGGGCATTTACCTGCACTTTCATGGAAACTGAGAGAGGTAACTCATGGCTTTATTGTGCTACAATAGCAAAGTGAATTTAGAAACCCCTAGATAAGGTTATTAGGTAAAGATCATGGACAGGAAACAAGAAGTTATTTTAGCTGGATTTCTTCACTCCAGATGGAGACTATAAGCTCTTTCTGATTCACAGATTGCAATATATTTACAAGTCATTATGTGAGATGCACAGTACAATCTCAAAAACCTCAGTAAAATGAGCAGACCCAAATTGCTAGACCAAAATCTCAGTCACTTCTGCAATCACCCCTTCATTTAAACTCCAGCAAGAAATCTCCATATTAACGAACACAAATGGACAAAACACTCAGGAGAAAAGAAATTTTAAGAAGCAATTACATTGTTGTTACTCGAACTTGAATTCTGGCTTGTTTTTCTCCTGAAGTATCTGTATGTCTCCAGTTCCAGTCCTTCAGGGAGGAATGCCTGAACAAACACACACATTCATCTTTATACTTTCGTGCTGTGGAAGTTTCAGCTGGGGCAGAAAAGAAACTATTTCTCTCACTGTGATCACCTTCAAGCTCAGTCTGAGGACTGCAAATGGTCTTAGTCACAGTAGTTTCTCTCTAGAGGAGGAAACCAGTATAGAAGAGTGTGCACACAATGACATCACTATTTTAAGGGACTGTTTTTGCACATGATGCTCATGGAGAAATAATTTAGAGTGATACTACTAACTGCCAATCTGACATAAGACATGTTTTGAGACAGCAATTAAGAAACTTGAGGGTTAATAAAGAAGAATTCATTCAACACTGGCTGGAATCATTCAATATTCTGTAACCACAGTTCTAATTTCCAAGCATCCAGCAAAATGTCAGGCTCTTCAAAAACATAATTTATCTCAATAATGATAGCAAAATCATCAACATCTTACTTACAAAACTCATTACAACAATCTGTACACTAAAGTGCTTGTGGTCTCATTTCTCCATTGCTTGTGACAGACCTCCACATGTCTTAAATCACTTGCTTTTATGACTTTACTCACTCAGCTTTTAGTATGGGTAGGAACAACCAAAGTAACAGTTCAAATACTCAGCTTGTAAAGGGAGTTTCTGTACCAGGAAGAAACCATGAGATAATGCAGATAAAGATACAGCATTAGATCCCAGGTAGTAGTAGGAACCCAGAGTAGATCCCAGGTAGTAGCAGGTTACCCAGAGTAACTGAGCTTATGAGCATTTTCTTAGCCTAAAAAAAAGATTACTGCAAATAAAGCTGATTAGCACCATACAGCAGGTATTTCTAACTCTTGAGGCCATGAGCAGATTCCAGAACATCTCAGAAGAATCCACACCATTTTCCTTCCATATCCACAGTACAAATCCTCATCAGTCAGCTCCTTCAGCTCCTAACTGGTAGAGTTTGTGTCAGATGGAGTGACAAACAGCACTTAAAATGAAAAGTGAAATACTTCACCTTTACACGAGACCAAGTACTACAGAGCAACACAAGCTTTTGGAAAGCTGATGAGCCAGAAAGTATTCAAGACAGCCAAGCAGCTACATAAATAGGGGTCATTCACAAAGACTCATTAGTGCTCCCAGATATTTACTGTTACAGTATTATTTATATTTATGCAGTACTGCAGAAGCCAGCAGCTCTGAGTCAAAGTAGTTCCTCCATGAGTCACGTGCATGGCAACACACCAAGAAAGGAGAGCTGCGATGAATCATCGCAAACTTTCTTAGTTGAGCAACAGACAGATGGAATGTTGTTTTTCTAAAAAACACTGGTGTTCTCCTTCTCCAGTCCTGGAAGGCAGAAGCTCCCCTCCTCTCCCAGGGCCCTGTTCACACCCCAGTGCAGAGCCTGCACACTGCGGCTGGCACAGACTTGGCAGCAGCAGGGAGCTTCTCCCTGTCCCACCTCTGAGCACTACCTGCTGCTCCTTCAGTGGTCTGGATTCAGCTCTGTCCTTCTGTCTAGCCACTCTTCTTCATGAAATCTGCAGAAATGTTCGTATTAGTGAGACCTCTAATTTCTGCATGTGGTTTGACAGTATGTCTGGTGAGGGGAAGGCTGATAGCCACAAGTGCATAAATGCGGGAAACCAACCTAAACACATCCTCCCCAGCTTCCAGTGGGTAGCTGGATTTTACTCTCCTGTGTCTCACATTCTCCTCAGGGGACTTAAAAGAAGTAGAAATATTCAACACCTAATCGTAAGAGAAGCTGAAGAAAGTACAGGAAGATCAACACAGGGAGCCTTGTTTATGAAACAGTTAAAATAAGAGCAAAGTCATTACTACTCTTATTATTGCTTTTTAAGCTTGTTTCCAACTCAAGTTTTGCCCCACTGGCATTAGTTATCTACCATAAACGACATACTGCTCACTTCACATTCTGACACTTATTTTCCAACATGCCATAAGTGAGCAAAACTGAGATAAGCGACTGGATCACAAAACAAACAAACAAAAACCTGTGAGAAAAATGACATGATTCTCCAAATACAACTACAAGAACTGCCTTCCAGGATTTGAAATGGAGAACCTGGAACATGAAGACCACTTGCTGTGGGCAGAGGAATGAACATAAACGTGCACCATTGCTCTCAGCCAGGGCAGAGGTTCTCAGCAATGTCCCTCTGTAACAGCAACACAAGTGGGACGTTTACTCCCATTGCCAGGCAGCAGTTTATAATTAGTTCTGCATGAAGCCTCGTGGAATTAAATCCCACACGGTTGGCTTTC